CAGACTCCATCTCGGCAGGCTGTCCCTCGTGTCTCCCGGTTGCATGCGCTGCAGGACATAGCTGGCGTTGGGCTCGGCCCTAGTAGAGCGAGAGCGGTGCATCCTAGCCATCTCCGGACCCTCCTACGCCATCATGTCTGGCCCCTTCCGCTTCCAGCAAGAGGAAGCCAGGTCGCCGCTGTACGTACCGCCTCTGCACGCGCATGTCGCCTGCTGTCCTGAACTGACTCGTGTTAGCGATCGGACCGCGTCGCCCTTCTCCGCCGGCCAGCCTGTGTCGTTCAAGACCAATGTCAACCGCGCCAAAACGAAGAAATGGGTCCAGGCGAAGAAGAACGCCTACGACGGCGACGATTGGGGCGGCTACGACGAGTACGACGAATACGGCGTCAACCAGGAGCCCGAGCAGCCACAGCCTCTGGCGCAGCGTTACTATGCCCAGCGGACGGAGCAACCATCGCGCAGCTTCACCGACCCCTCCCAGCAGGCGCCCCTCCCACGACCCCGAAGAAATTCCTTCGAGCACGGCGAGGAACAGCGCGCCTTCTCCTCAACAATACCGCAACCCCAACATGGACACGGCCACGAGCATGAGCAGGGCTACTCTGCCATGCCCCCGCCTCTCCAGACTCGCATATCGCAGGTCCCTGCCGATTTCACCCCGCCGCTCAACACACAGTTTCCCCCGCGCAAGAGTAGCATAGGCCAGGGAGACATGCCAATGTCTACTTCGCCACGATCACGCAATGGCAGTCAGGCATCTGACAAGCCGCTACCCTTCATCAGACCAGCCGACATATACAAGCGGCACCAAGAGGAGCGGGAGCGGGCGTCAATGGAATCATCGCGACCAAGCCTGGACTCTCTTTCTTCTCCGATACAGGACAACGTGGTCTCTCCTCAAGAAGGCGGGCGATCGCTGCAGCCTATGGAAACCGTCGCTGAGCGCAAGAGCGAGTATCTGCCTGATTATGATGCAGCAGCCCCGCACGACAAACAACAACCCCAGCAAAATCAATCCCTTGCGTCACCACAGGATGACAAGGGTCTGCGCTCCGTTGTTGATCAGGCATTTACTCGCGCTGACGAATCGCGTTCCGTTCCGCCAACGCCCATATCAAACGACAACGATTCAACTTCAGACCTTCTGAGGAGCAATACTGGAAGCACTTCCGGAATCAGCCCAATCATGAGCCGCGTGCCCAGTTCAGCAGCCTCAGCACTGAGAAACCGTGATCAAGCAGAAAGCACCACACCCGCCATCGCAGAAGAACCAAGTGAAGTCACGACGCCCGTTACCCAGCCAACCTCTGCGAAGATCGTCGAGCCCATACACCACGTTCCACGAAAACCGTCCCCAGGTCACAATCGCAACTTCTCCAACTCTTCTCTACCGCGCAGCGGCCTCGCTACGCCCACACGCGGTGACAGTCCTGCACGATCCCCTATCTTAGCACCGAGCAGAGACGTACCCGAACCCTCCTCCGCCCTTGTTACCATGGAAAGCAACGAAACTCCGGGCGCAATGGAAGGCGGCCTTAATGGTCCATCCCCTGCATATGCTACTCGCGAGGCTGATATTGCTACTGCTGTCAGGGATGGTCCAGACAATGGCGCACCCGGACTGGGCGCTTCAGAGCTTCAATCACAGAACAACTTCCTCGAGTCGCATAACGCGCAAAGCCCTCTCGATGATGGCTTGCCGCGCGATCGCTCAGAGTCTCCAAGCAAGGGTCGTGTGCAGGCGTTGGCTGGCAAATTTGGAGAGGTGGCATCGTCGAGACGTGGCTCTACACAGTCCAATCGCTCGAGGAACAGTGTTCAATCGTGGGAACGGAGCAACGATAATTCACGTGCGGCGTCTCCAACGAAAGCTAGCCCTTCGAAACCCAGCAGTCCTGTCAAAGAATTTCGTCCCCATCTTCCAGGCCAGTGGGAGTCTTATGCTACTACCGCTATGACACCTTCGGATCTGGGCGAGCAAGACCGTCGATTAAGTTTCGCGAACAATGGTCCGAGTGCGCTCAACAAATCCGATCTGACGACTACAACGGATAAGAAGCCACTTGCCGGGGCATTGTCGGCAGAGACGGACACTCCGGATCCGCTCGCCGCTCTTAGAGATGCTGGAGCTGCAATGGTCAATTCTATCCGCACAACGTTGGGTGCCGATGACCAAACATCCGAGACTCAACAGCAGCAAGCACGTCGTACTGACCACGGAAATATCTATTTACCAAGGCCTCTTCAGCTAGATCGTACTGGCACTTCCGGCTCAAGCGTGCCGCCAACTCCCCCCGCGAAAGACACCCCGGAATCAGAATTTCCGCCACCCCCGCCTTTGAAGGAGAGGCCCTCACAGCCCTTCAAGAGTCAGCCTAAACGACCGAGTCTTGATCCTCAGTTAAGTACTGACCCTTCTGCTGAAGACCAGGAAAGTGACCGTCTTCGCAAGGAGATTGTCGCCAGTCTCAGCCCTTTCAAGGCTCCAGCGTCGCCGGCCAGCGAGTCTAATCAAGCCTCGCTCCACCCCGCCAGCCCAGGCACAAATCGTGCTAGCTCTATTCTGCCCAGTGAGTATGATACCTACTGGGCAGATGAAGATCGGGCTTCTCGTCGATCTTCGCAGGAGACTGAGCGCTATGCTCAAGGTCAGCCATCCGATGCAGCCATGTCTTTTCTCCCACAATCGGAAGAACCGACCAAGCCTGTGATACTCAATCGATTTAGCTGGGAGGCAAGCAACCCGCAACCGCAAACACCAGACCAGCAAGCGCACGGTGTAGCCGCTGTTGAGCCTACAAAAGCCTCACAGGCAACGGAGAGTCGCCTTCCCACTGTGGAACGAGCTGCAGATCAAGAACGACAAGAGTGGTCAGAAGGCCTTCCGGACTCGTACTTTGGCCCAGAGCACACTTTCACGGTTACTAAACCTGACCCTAGTAGTAGCAGTGATATGCCGCAACGATCTGCTTCTCCAACCGTCGATACTGCGCGCTCCGTAACTAGCCCTGCTCGAGAAGAAACACGCTCCCCGGGACTTCATGTTGTCAACACAGAGCTCAATCCCGAAGCCGTGGATCTCCCACCACGTTTCAGTGCGGAGCATGAGCAGACTTCAGGACTCGGAGGATCCAGCTTGAACGAGAAGCAACAGATAGAGCAGCCTGCGGAACATCCCGCAATTGTACCATCTGACGACGAGCCGAAAACACCCATTGCCGTACAGGAGGAGCCTTCGCCGAAGTCGCCAATTACGGACAAACCTCTGGGCGCTCGGGAAATAGCAACGCTTAACACTGCTGCTGAGCGAATTGACACCTACAACAAGACACGCGAGTACTGGGCGAAAGTTGATCATGGCCTTAATGACTGGCTACGCTCTGCGCTCGAAGCAAACCCCGAGCTGGCTACGCAGACGTACCCAGTACAGCGTGTGCCTACAAGCTCGGCACGTCACAGGCACACTGGCTCTCTTGCACTGTTTGGCAAGCTTGGTGGTTCGAGTAGCTACGACGTGAGCGCTGACCAAAATAACAATGCTAGCGTACCAGTTCCCGCGAGCTCAGGCTCTCCCACTAATCCTGCATCCTCTGGTTCAGGATTTGGCGGACGAATTGCAAATCAGCAGATGCAATTGAAAGGCAAGGACTTGCTTCATACTGCTAATGTGTTAGGAGGGAAAGGCATGACCAGTGCCAAGGGATTGTTTGCGAAAGGCAAGAGCCGTTTCGGCCGCGAAAAGGTAGATAAATGATCTCTTCTACCCATTTTCTTTGCTTGGCATTCTCATCGTATGTCACGACTACCATTTTCCTTGGTCCATGGACTACAGCGGGTGATTGGATGTAATCGTATGGATATTGAATGTGGCGTTTCTGACCTTGCTTTGGGCGTTTTCATTCTTTCGCCATTTACGATCGTAGTCCTCGCCTGTAGCTTCATAATCATCTCAACGTAATGCCAAGTCTGACTGAGGCGGCTCAGCTTCCTTACGACGGTGTTGTTTGCTGATGTGATGCGTGATTCAGACCTCCTCGTATAACCGGGCCGACTCTGCTCCTTCTTCGCGCGAAGCTTCTCAAGAGCCCGAGCTCGTTACACGAAGATCGAGAGCATCGTCAGGAGTGCAACTGCTACGCTCCATGACGGAAAAGGAAAAGAAGGGGGAAGTCTCGAACGAAGAGAAGAAGAAGCGTCGATTTTCATTCTCGTCCCAATTTCGGCGTGCCAGTCGCTCCAGAATCAGACCGAGTAGTGTGGCGCTGCCGAAAACTACTCCATCCGTCCTTGACTCGACATCTAAGACCTCGCCTCCCCGCGAGCTCCATCACTACCTGATGGGGGAACGTCGGCCGCATTCTTTCCATGCTCCAGACTCTTGGGTCGGCACTCCACCGGCTACTCTCAACGAGTACTTCAATACTACAGCGATGCGAAGAAGCTCTTCGCAGGCGCATTTGGGCATATTGCCGTCGCCAGCAAAGAGTGCCTTTTCAAACCAGGACAAGGACGCTGAAGACTATGTTCCTCCCGTTCCCCCCATTCCAAACGAGGTTGCCATCAAGCATTATCGACGTAGGTCTAGTCAGGACAGTGCCAGCCATCGGATGTTGCAATCTGTTATTCGGCATTCAACCCCTCCTATTGTTCTGAATAGACATTCGATGCCAGCAGCGATTACGAGAGATCCAAAAACCCTCGATTATCACCCAGCTTTTGCTGACGATAATAACATCTCTGGTGCGCAAGAAAGAGCGAATGACTATAAGACAATGCTTCGTACCCCAGAGGGATCTTTCCAACCAGACCTACCTACAGCAGAATCTGATGATCTCCGACGCGATGGGTTTCAATTCGGGTTCAGTGACGAATCGCCAAAGAGGGTCAGAGATCATCACATCGATGATGACGATCAACCGCCACAGTTGAATCACGACCCATTACCAACATCCTTGCGACATGGCCAGCAACCGCCTCCTATGTACACTAACAGACACATGGATGTGAGCGATGAAGACAGCGACAGGGAGCTTGTTCGTGGAAGAAGCTTGGCACCAGTGACAGCACTGAATGCGAAACAGGAATCTGACAGTGTCAGCCCTGTACTAGCTCCTGTGGGCAAATCTGCCAGTATTACATCAGATAAGAACGGGGATGTGGGGGATGTCGAGCGCGATGACCAAATGCGTGGAGCCCGGGTCATCAGGTATGAAGACACACCCTTTGTGCTGGCGCGACAGCCACCAGACAATGTCGCTGCTATAGAATGGCCGTCTATGGATCCTCTCAATACCCTAGGTTCGAAAGAAAGGGCCCAGGAGTCTGCAGAACACTCGTTCCTGGACATCGGACACGAGACGTTTGTTTACGGCAGCGCTTCGGTTCCGCAGCACCACACAGTCAACGAGCTCGCCAGCGCAGAACAAACGATCCGCCAGGGAGAACGTGCATCTAATGTTGAATCGCCTACTCTCGGTCTTCTTGATGATGCCTTTCGTACTGGCAAAGTCTGGCGAGTATCGTCGCTCGAAGCTAGTGTACCTGCATCCGAGGCGCCTTTTGATGTCAAAGACGACGAGGGCATGTCGAGAGATGAAAAGGCGGATGCGGAACGCGCTTTCAGTCCTGTGTGGTTTGCTAAGAGCGACTTGCAGCTTCCGACAAGCACTCGGGATCTTGGGAATGCAGATGGAAGCGCAGAAATCCGCGCGACAACATCTGGAGAAGAACGCGACGCGGACGCAGGCAGTCGAGTAATGGCCGTTGGCGCGATTGCAGCCCCAGCCCAGCAGGAAATACGAAGACATGGGGACCGGGAGCCTTCGCTTAGCCATACCCTTGCGGGGGCCAGTGCTGCGGCGGCTGACAGCGACACCTCGACGCGCTCCGCGCCGCCCTCCTTAGTTGTCGACGCCGCTGAAAAGCATACCGCCTCTGGATCACTTAGTCCATCATGGGGCCGCGGACACAGCATCATTGATCCACGCGTGGCTGAGCGCGCTTCCGATGAGATGGGGGACGAAAGCAACCTCGTCACGCCCGCCGGGCAGGTTCCGCGCATTACCACCCAGAACGGTCCGGAGACACCCAAGGCTGGACAACCGTACAGCGAGCATTCACGTCCCGCCATGTCAAACAGCCACTCCCATGGCCAGGCCAGCTTTCCGGACTTCAAGCACCAAGCACAGCAACTGCAGGTTTCAAATAGCGCTACGGCGGCTCCAGAACGGTCAAGATCCATGCTCTCGCAGATATCTGCCATGGTTTCTGACGAGGGAAGCAACCCTTACTCTCAAACATCTACTGGAAGATCAACCCCGTCAACAATTCGTCGCATGCAGCCAGAGTCCACCGTGAAGCCTTCGGCAGTCCCACCACAGATTCCAGAGGAGATTTTGATGTCGTATGGTGGCGACGATGGTTTTGATCTTTACGCAGATCATAACGGAGTCGTCAAGGATGTGCAAGACGAGCATGGCCAGCCTTTGCGACTTGGACATCTCCAGGTGCGAGGGGCAACTACCCAACAACAGCCATCACAGCCTTCAACTTCCGGTATTGCGACAGCGCCATCATCTCGCGATGGTGATCGCCCAAGATACAGTTTTGAAAGGCCAATGAGCTTCGTCTCAGGACCTGAAGACCAAGACGGCAAACCTCAAGATCAGATCAACCAGACCGCATCTGCAAATGCAACGCAATCTTCCCCTGTCGCTATGCAGCATCGTAATCAGTCCCAGCAATCACTACACATGGACACAGTGTACTCACCGAACCCGCTAGCAAACGTCGCACCGCCCTCGGGTCGGAGCGCATTGAGGCACCAGCCAATGCTTGCATCTGGCCCATCTCCATCCAAGAATATCTTCCAGGCGGTAAAGTCAATCGACCCCAGTAACAAAACCACTCAGATTACCGTCAGTTCTTGGCGTCCTGCGGGCCATCAAGCTTCCCAGCAAGCAGTTTCCGGAAGTCCTGATCTTAACTGTCAGTTACCACAGGCCACTCAAGCTTCGGGTCGGGTTCCGCTAGCAGAACAAGAGAGGCCAGCAATTTCGGGGCCGCAGAGCAACCCGAATCGCGCACAAGGGCAGATGGAATCTCATGGACCCAGAAATCAATTTGAACTGCAACAGCAATTGTTGCAGAGGCAAGGGCAATACCAAGTTGCCGCGTTTAGACCACCCGCCAATTCTTCGTCTCAACCTGCCGAGCAAACATCAAGAAACCAGGAGAAGTCATCTTCGAAACCTCGGCTTACATCAATGTTCAAGAGCTTTGGTGGTAAGACACAGGCGAACCTCCAGCATACGACCAACTCTGGCAATACAGCCATAATCTCCCAGTCCAAGCCACTTCCGCCGGATCCTAGTTCTGGTACTCCGCTTCACTCTGTAATGGACAGATTTATGCGCCCTAGGGAGGCATCGGCAGAAAAGCTTATCGACCAGCAACATCCTTTCTTGCCGCATAGTCGCCCAAACATGGGGCAGCCACCGGAGTTTGGGCAGGCTTCGTTACAGGTACACTCGGTAGAACCGCGTGTCGATTCGAGAACGCGCATTGCATCCGACCTTCCCAACGACTTTTCATCCCAGCAGCCACCGTCAATATCCAATGTTCAAGTCCAGGCCCATCAAGTATCATACTCGAAAAGACCAGAATCTGGCAAGAAGAAGAGATTTTCTGCGTTGGGCGCTCTGTTCATTCGAGGTGGTGTGAATGGTGATGGATCGGCTATGAAATACAAGATGTCAAAAGAAGGAAAGAAGGCACAGAAGAGTATACAGGCGACCGCTACTCCAGCTACTCCCAGCGCCTCTCATAGAGTACCTCAGCATCAGCAGAATAAGCCACAGCAGTCTGGGTTAGCATACTATCCTCCCGGACAACTTCCGCCTCATACCATACAAAGTAGGCCACCCCTGGGTCAAAAGCTTGGGCCATCGCAACCAGCACCCAACATGCATCCTCAAAAGCTACCTCAGCCGTATCAGCAACAAACGCAGCAAGTTCTGTCATCACGAGAGCCAATCTCTAGTTTACATTCAGAGGAAGCGTCTGCATTCCTTAAAACAAAGCAGCTAGCGATGGAACACCAAGCTCGGCAAAGCAGCTTACAATTGAATCAATCCCAAGCTTCCAAGCCTGGGATTGAAGCACAGCCCTATAGTGCACCATTCCAGAACACTCTTGCACACACGCGAGATCAAGATTCGGATCCACCTCCTGGAGGATACTATAATCATCGTGCTGAGCCAGCTCCAGCTGGGAGTGGAGCCTACGCAGCTTCTTTAGCCGCGCGGGGACAGGTAGATCAACGTAATCAACCGCAAACAGCTCACCAAGGAGTTTATACGGTCCCACAGGCTGAGCGACAGCAGCAACCCCCCGAAAAACAGCAGTCTGAGTACGAGCAGAGTGTTCAGAGGGACCATCAATATGAGCGACAACTAGAACAACAAGCACACCCCGAGACATCCCAGGACCACCTTGCCCATCATACCTGGCGAGCACAACGGGAGGAACTACTACGACAGGAGCGATCTGCACCAGAGCACAATAGGCCATGGCCGAACGACGATGCGTGGGTGCAACGACCGCGTCAGCAGCAACAACACCAATCTTTGGTAGAGTGGCGACCGAACGACTATCAACCTCAGCTTCCGTACCACAATGCGCACGGCTCAGGACCTCTTTTTGCTTCTCAAGATGATGAGCCGATATCTCCACCTGCAGTGTCCCCTACGCAAGAGCCGAGTTATGACGCACCTCCAATACCTGCGGCGTATAGTCATGTATCTGGGGCATTTGTATCGCCGCTTGATCGGCAACAGCAGTCGTTGTCACTCAGTCAGACGGATGCGCCCGTGCAACTTTCAGTGGATCAACACAATCGTCCGCTTTCGGAGTCAATAATGCAGGCTGTGTCGCCGCAAGTGTCTGCACACTCACAAGTACCTCCAAACGGTCGAATGCACTCGGATGCTAGCACAATGTCCCTCGTGTCGCCAATATCAAACTCTCCAGCAATGCCTAGCTACTCTCCAGCCCCTAGTAGCCAACGGTACCAGAATCCAAGGATGAGCAGCATATCAGAAGTCCATCAGCAGGATCTTCCATGGCATCTCGACTTCCCAGCAGGAGCAACCGAACAAGACATTGTTCGAGCACGACAGGGACAATACATGCAAGAACGCTTTACCGCCCAACAACAACAGCAGGACGAGAGAGCTGCCGGATCACCATCGCCTCGTTTATCGCCCGAGCAGACTACGCTAAATACTGTACCTCCACATGCTCAAGCACACGGCGGTGGATTCAGGGAAATTTTGCCGCGAAGTTTCACGCAGCCCTATGCGACCTCGCAGGCAGCACAATCAAGTCAAAATCTTCAGCCCATTATCCGCCGCGACGCGACACCTGTACAGCCAACACCGATACATCCGGGACAATCCCCGCCACCCGCAGCGTATCCTCTGCCCATGTCTCCCGACCCTACGGTGATCAATAGTCCCCAGAATTTCATTGCAAGCGAATTTGCCCCACCTCCACCACCAAAAATAGCCCAAAGTCCTATGCGACCCGGACCTTCTAACGCCCAGCCTTTTTCATTTGAGGGTCAACGGCCGCATTCTCATAGCCCATCGTCGCCAAACTACGTCTATGCCTCGTCACACGGGAATGGATCCCAGTATGATGTGAAAGCTCAAAATGAAGCCCCACCATCATATGACGGTCCTGGTGTGCCTAATAGTGGTTTAGATAAGAGTCGCCCCGAAGGACTTCGACCGCTCAATATCACAACGGATCTAGACGGTGAACCGCGTGATAGACAACCAGATTCTCGTCCACGTCAACCCTCGATTGGTATCCTGCAGCATCCACAACCCGCCTCAATGGCTGCTTCACCTCAACGCACATCACCAGACATGGGTGCGGAGTCGTTACGTCGCCAACTCCTACAGCAAGAGAATCTCGCCCACATGGAACGCGTCCAGCGCGAAAAGGAGAAGCGCGAGAGACATGAACGCGATAGGCAGGAACGCGAGGCTGCAAGAGCAAGAGCAAGAGAGCTTGAGCGCAGCGCGTCTGGTGGCGGGCAGGTTGGCAGCCTGAGAAGCATTGGCGGTAGCACTACCGGAGGAGCTTTAACCTGGGAGAGACGTGGGAGTCACAGCAATAGCAGACAGGTATTTGAGCTGCCTGCCGTGGAAGATGACGAGCCCACTATGAAGGCGACTAGTTATCCTGGACAGGAGTGGGTACCTCCCATGTGGGATGGTGACTGAGCCCCAGTCTTTAGTTCGCCCTTTTTCCTTGTGATCATCCCAAATTTGGTCCATTCGCGCTAATTCTCCCCGTTAATGTATTCGACGCGAAGTGATATGGTCGCACATTTCCTTCTGTGAATATCACACATCATTGCATCTTGGTTGATCTACGCGTTTTGAGCGAAATTCGGATACCCTCATCGTTTTTCCTGGTACACATTGGACAGTCTCGGTCTTCATCTTCTTTTCTTCGTCCAGCTTTGTTTCTACTTCTGTAAATTGTGGGTAATAGTAGATAAACTTTTTTACCTAGGGCAGTGCAGCGCCAGTTCCGCACTACACATCCCTTACAACATCGATTTAATTCACTATCTGCTCGGCAAGACAACGTATCCAGTTTCTTCCACAGTTCGGACCTGATGGGGAGTCAAACTCGTTGCCAACACCAAGATCTCTGTACCGTGGTCCTTAGGGGCCCACCTCTGACGATGAGAGAAGAGCAGAATATTACCAATCCAGACACAAACATTTGCTCAATCGACAAAGACGTAAAAGCTGCAACACACCATCTCGAACGTTTCGAACTTCGCGATCCGGCCGGGTTTTAGAGAGGCAAACACTAGCGGCGCCCAAACACTGTTAACGCATACCTACCTCCAACTTTTCACTCGTGTCTGGACAACGCTATGCGGGTATTGTGTGCGACGTCGTCTATACCAAGGGAAATTAAATCCCCTTCGCCTACTACCGATGGAGCCTTTTCCGCCGACGCTTGATCTTTCTAACGGTACAACTCACTCCTCTTTTCATCAGTCATTCTGCTCAACTCCGATAAACCACCCGTACGAGAACCTCTAGAAATAGCAGGCATAAATCATTCAATTAGAACGCCACAATGTTCCGCAAGATCTTCTCTGTACGAACAATGCGTCAACGCATAACACCTAGCGCCCAACCCATGTCGCGATTCGACAGTCTCCGTCCAAATACTCTCGACGCTGCTGAAGCTTCAAACGCCGAAACCGAAGAAGGTTTCGGCTTCATAGTCGCCTACTCAACTTTCCACCCGTGCTCAACGCGTCCCCTTTCTTTTCCGCTATGCAGCGGGATGGTAACGCCAATGCCTACAGTATTGGAATCCACGTCTCAAAAAAATGACATGAAGGAGACTATGAAGGATAGTAAGAGAGAGAAAGAGGAGGGTGTGGAGGAAGTAGCCTTTAAACCATGGCCATACTCCCTCCCGTCATGGCTTCGACCAAAAGCTAGTACAACCTTTTCACTCATGAGCGACAGGACCCTTCCGATTTCTGCTGTAGTAGATTCTGAGCGCACAGGCGTTCTACAGTTCATTCTCTACGGTGTCCCGAATCCAGAACGCTTCTCTTACAGCCAGGAACTAGTGGCGCCGGGTAGTCTTTTGCATAAGGTTCTCCATGGGATCAAGGAGATGGATGAGTGTGAGGGTACTGTTGCTAGTGTCACCGTTGTCGAAAGTGAGAACGTAGACTTGGGCGAGGAGAAAATCAAGAAGGAAGAAGATGAGGCCATAGTGGTGAAGGGTATGCAGAGCAAGGTTACAGTGGAAGATGTGCTGGAGAAGAATAATCATATGGGGCATGGGAAGATAGCGAAGCAGCGCTTAGCTCCTTCTCAGAATTTAATTTATGGTAAGCACAGTGCATGTAAATAAGGATGAGGACGAATACTTGCAGCCTAGAGCTGACATAAAGCTCAGATCGAATCTAAGCAACGTTCGTTACACCATGTGTCTACTGACTTGTATGTGGGCAAAGAAAAGTGACTAGGCAGCAGTTTTCCTGCTCCTAAACAATAAGTGTACGACACATTACACTAAGTTTTTAAACAATGTATCAGATAGCCATGAACGTTAAGATAACATTCCTATTCTTAGCGCATGTGTCTTTCGCTTAATATGTGTTAATTTCCTTCTATTCTAAGTTATATAGAGTGATACTAGTTCTAGTTAGAACTATTATGTTTGCTCTATACATGTATCTGTCGTAGACACGATGGCTTCTTTCTTATTCTATCTTTTGTGACACTACTTTACCTACCAACCTCAATTATCCTAAAGACATACAGATATTATGCAAGAGACTGACAAGCTCTCGGCTTCACTCACAGAAGGCACGGCTTAGCTGCATTAAGTCGGAGTCGGTCTCTGCAACTTTGTTATCTCTCGCGCGTTAATCTTCCCTTCTAATAGAAGCTAATGTGAACACTAACATTTAAATTAACAGCACTAATTTTCACCCTGCTACTCTCCAGTGCCGAAGAACTTAGAAAAGGCGCAGGAGACCGACGACCGCTGCTTACTCCGGCAGCGATGAACCCAGCATGTCTCCGAAGCTCCGTCAACTCGCGCCCAACCCTGTCCCTGCCAGTGTTCGTTATGTGCTAGCCAACTCTACTCCACCAAGCCAAAATGTTTCAATTCAACCCGACAACACTGCTATTGCGTCTGATACAGGCCCATCGAGCAAG